TTTGAGGCTTCAAAGTACTTTCGCATGCATTTAGAGCGCTCTCGCTGAAGCTGATGCTTGAAAGACTGTGTTCATTTCTGTAGTGTAATTAACCAAAATACGAATAGCTAATGACGGTAATGGAAGGTTGATCTTATAATATATCTATCTATCTATCTATCTATCTATGTATCTACAGTATATGTGAATATATATATATATATACACGTACAGGTATATGATAAGTGACACTGCTAATTTCCAGACACTCAACGAATTGGTTCTTAAGTGCGATCTCGTGTTGTTAGCACGTCTTTCAACACCACACCACAAATGCGAGATAGCGTACACCTGTCAGAAGAGCATATTAGGCTACTGTAACTGCAAATTGTGATCCAATTACAAAGTAAAACAACTGTGTCTGATGTGACATGGGCTAATTATAATGTCAAAATAGTTAGCATCGTTGGTCGACATTGACAGTATTTTATTTTGTGATAGTTTTTTTTTCAGATTTGGCTTTTCAAAAACTGGACTTAATGAAATTTTTTTTTCTTTAGTTGCCCTTTGCTACTTCCCTACTGCTCTGCTAGCTTGTATCCTGATAAGTGACTGTGCTTAAGTGCTTTGCCATTCAGTGGCCGCAGTGAAAATCTGCAGGAATCCATGAAAATTTCTGATCTACCCCCCAGAGTGACTCTTGTAAGTCAGTAGTTGTACATTATCACTGTCCCTAGACCAGGAATGGATGACTGATGGGCCGGGACCACACTCTGAGTGACCCCCCCCCCCCGCCCCCGATTAACAAACAATAACGGAAATAGCTAGAAACCCAAACAAATCTTAAAAAATATATACTGATGAACATTCAATGTTTTTCATGAAAAACAGGGGCAAGTGGGGGGTGGGTGTAATCTCAGGAAAAACATGAAAAATCCAAGATATGAAAAAATATAAAATAAAAATAAAAATCTGCGAATATGCTAATCCACGGATGGCCAATTTAGCATTTGCAGTGGTGTAATCTTAGTCATCACCACGAAATGTCTTAGTTGTGCTTAAACTGGGTCTTATACTGCCCTATATTACAACACAATTAGGCCAAACCTTTTGCATATTTTGAATACTATGCAGGACAAACAAGATACCTGGATAACAACATTTTAGTCGAATAACCCATCCCACATGACACCCATGACTCAGCCCACCTTCCCCACCCCCCTCCCACGTGTTGACTATCAATCGATACCACTTCTACAACCTGGAAAAAAAGAATGTTACTTAGTCTAGCACCTTTTTTACGTCCAAACATTTAAGCCATTAAATTATTTCGTCTTAGAGGCACCCGTGGCTAGAATACATCTCATCTGGTCATCATAGGGCTTTTGCATCAGACTTTAAAATGTCTTCTATTTTTTTTTTTTTTGTTACTTCATTCTTCTGCCTTCTCTTCTGTGACAAGCATGCTATCACGGATGACAATGAGACGCTCTAAAGCAGCCACGCTAACTGCATTTCACAGTGGCACTGGATAACCGCTGATGTGAACAAAAGCACTCAAGTTCCAATAAAGCAGAGGCAACTCATCCCTAACTCCGAAGTGGGTTACGAGGCAACAACTAGGGAGGAGAAGAAAGAAAAATCGGGAAAACTGAAATGGTAAAAAAAACAGTGAAGGACAAAATCAACGACTGCATCGTTCTGTATTTGCACGCTCTCAGCAATTATCTTCAAACATGTATAATGGGCTTTAGAAACACCTCTGAATTCACATTACATGGTCTTAAAGAACCTCAAGACATTCAAATGTGCAAGAGTGACGCCATCATGCTTTTCTTTTGCAACTGTCTTTGTGAATCAAAGGTCGTTTGATCTTTTACATTGGTCATAGAACTGTTTTGTCAAAATGTACAAAAAAGAAAATGTTCATTTCAGGAGGGGGTTGGGAAACTGCGGTGAGGCTGAATCGCAAGGTTGAAGAAAGAGTGCGAGTTGAAGACAAATCCTCAGGGACCAAAAATAAATCCTCTCGGAAATGTTGTAATCATGGCTGCGCTTCATCATTTGCCTTCAGTTCAACCCATAAAACAGCGTTGCAATTTTCCTGATAAAAAGCCGCTGCGCACACATTAGTTTCGTCCTCAGCTGAGTTTTCGTATTTTCCTGAAAGCACAATGATCCAAGCTTTGTTTTGTTACTGACAACAGGAGGGAAGTGGATTCAGGTGTGCATGTCACTCTTGTGCATCGTCACAAAACCATTTTGTGTGAAAGCAGATGGGAAATCATCGGAATAATCTCCAAACGATTCCCAGCGCGTACATTACTGATTGGTAATGAAAGTTATTATGACTTTTTTTTTTTTATAGACACAATAAAGCAATGCGATACTGAATGACTGGCCTTATCTGCGCTCTTGCAACAATAGCAGTAAAACTTTGCCGTTCACCCGAGTCAGCACATTATTATCAGGTTGATAATTAGAGCAACAATAGGGAAAGGGCCAAGGATAGAAGGAGTTGATCTAATTCTTTCTCTTGTCACGTGGGGCCATCAGTACCAGACAAACGTTCCTTTATTTTATGATGATTATTATTTTTTTGTCAGACAATAAATGTGATCTGCGTCCTGTGCTGCGGGACTTGAATCAACACACTCTCTGCCTCCTCCTTCTTCAAAGCAACACTGTAGCTCCTTTCAACATTTTTCAGAGCGTCTCCGCACCTTTGAAGGCAGGCATCCATAATGAGTGGCGTCAATTTTCATTCCAATTAGAGTGTTTATCTCAGCTTAGTTCACCTGTGGTGTTGCCTTTGCCTCTTGTGGGCTGGTGATGATGAATTTTCATGAAGGACAAACACTGTACTTCAGATGAAAACGCTTATCTTATGCTGGGATTTAACGCTTTCGAGCTGGAATTACTTCTCCCCAATTTGTTTGTGCTGTGTTAACATCAAGCGTGGCGCAGGCTCACCATAGTGTGGCATCGGTGGGAGGCTGGTAATGCATGTTTATGTAAGCCGGGTCCCCAAGAGCTTTCATGTGGAAAATGGAATAAATGGTGCACATCATCCCGCGCGCGGCACCTTGATGAGGCCTGCCAGATAGAAAGTGACAAACACGAAAACTACACGTGTCAATCAAAGCCTTTTCAAGCTCGTCACCAACAGGAAAACGGGTGAACGTGCAGATCCGTTGGATTTGTTGCTGCCATTGTTGTTCTGCGGCGACGGACGAACAATTTCTTCCGCGGCAATTCCAACATTGGAGCCAGTAGAATGAAGGGCCGCGGGCTGTTTTTGTGGAATATGCGCTTTGTTATTGCAGCACTGAAGTGGCTGTTATGCCAAAGAGTTCGTGCACGGCAGCAGGGCCATGGAGCCGTTTCCCCCGACACTGATCTACGGCTGCGATTCACGGAACCCTCGGCTCTGACATGCAACATTTAAATGAAGTCATTAACATTTAAACTCTCTTTCTTCCAGGGACAATCTGTCCTGACATCCGCTTGGCCTTTCAGCAAGTCGGTGGAACATAAATATGGAAGCTGCCAAAGGGGTGTGAAAACTTGTTACTTGTCAGCTTTTCACCGGAAAGCTATTGGAGGCCCTTTTTGTGTTTATAAATACTGTCATAAAATCAGTTCACATAAAGACAAAGACAATTCATTGGACACTGTCCAATGGCAATAAAAATTGTCATTCTAACACAAAAAAAAAAACCAGCCTCCATAGAATCGGCGATGCTGCGATATCTATGTGCCCATCTAAGGGCTGAAAGCAGCACTAATATATATATATATATATATATATATACACACACATTCTCAGTAAGAAAAAAGTTATAGTTTGAATGTTGAAGTTTGGGTTGAATATGATTTTTGATCAATTTCTGACCTCTCAGAGAAAGCGAGTGAGCGGGTTCAACGTTGTTTTTCGGAAGTCACTGAAATTCACAAAACTCTGCATTGAAGCACTTCACTATGCTGAATGTCCCTGGAAAAGTCCTTCATGTCTTTATAATACGCATTTACCTGTTTCTTGCTTGACTGAAAGATTTTTGTCATTCTAGGACCGTGTTTTTCTTTTTTTTCTGTTTTTCAAACCATATTGCTTCTGTTTTTCAAACCATATGTTCTGTTGGATGAAAGTACTGTAAATGGAAAAATTATCATCAAAGAAGGCCGACTTATTTTGAGAGGAGCGTGGGGTAGAAGTGTGTTTGTCATGCTTAGTGTGGGGGTTACAAGGTGTGTGACTTGCTTGTTGAGTTATAATTTGTCTTGTTTTCGCTCTCCTGCTTAAATCTGGAGCGTCACAAATAAAAAAAAAATAACTAAGAAAAGCAACAGGTGGGCGGAGCGATTCTACGTATGCTTTTTGCTGCTCATGAGTGAATGTTAGTTTGGTAACGGACGTGCATCTCATCATGTGGCCTTTTTTTGTGTGCCAATCTTAGTCAAGCTGCAAATCCCAACTTGATGTGCCATCATTATAAATGACCTTTAGGGTGAATCCGGCGAGCGAGCTACTTGTACTTTTTCAACAGTTTCTCAATGGGTTCTCTTCAAACTGGAAGCTTCATTCCCTTGACCTGCCCGCGCAATGCAGGTGGCAAAGTGGTAAGTGAAGAAAGCACATATGCAAAAAAAACCTGAAGCTTTTCTCCTTTCGACGGATGACACGGCAACCTCGTTGGTGTGAAACGCTAGTACGGGAGACGCTCGCATCAAGACTTGCTGGAGTTTCTCGGTGGGTTTCTGAGGTGAGGAGGTCTGTCACACAACTCGTCTCATTTGATTCAGGGGGACGCCTGAGAGGTAGCGTGCAGGAGATCACAGGACGCACTAATTATTCCTGTCTGCCCAGAGACGCCCGACTGATTGCTCTGTTACAGCGGCTCGCGTATAATGTATGAGCTGAGGTAATGTTAACTGCACCCGATGCAATCAGAATTAAATAAAACATGAGATCCTGTCATCAGGCAAAATTAGATGTGTGGCATTCAAAAATGTACGGCAACTCCCACTTCAATCTTTATTAATTCTTTTAGTTATATTTTAGCAACGCAAACACCAAAGTATGAAGGCAACATTTCTTAGAACTCTAACCCATTTGATCTTCACTGTGGCACCGTCGAAAGGGAGCCATGAAGAACATCGAACAAAAAAAAAAATCTTTTGAATAAGCTCAAGAACAATCAACAGGTAGTAAGTAGCCTTTTCATGACTTCAATGATAAAATGAAATCTAAATGCAAATAATATCCGGATCATCTCCTTAACCGTGTGATAATCGATTGCACGTTTGATGCGAAATAAGGCAGATTCTTCCACAAATATTTGACAATCTGAAAAGGAGACAAGCAGAGATGACTCATTTGTGTAAAAGTAATTTGCTGGCATGCACAGGGAACGGCGAGGAAAAGGTTAAAGTCGGAAGGAGGGTTGTGTCAGAGGCGGGAAAGGGAGATGGCGAGTCCATTTGTTCGAAGACAATCAAGGTTTATCCTGTGTGGGTTTTGAGAAGTAAAAAAAAAAAGTTTAGGGAGCAGTTTTAATCAAAGAGGGTGAAAGAGAAACCTTGGCCTCGATCACGGTAACTTGAAGCAAAGACATTTGACTTGAATGAACTAAACTTCACTGATATGTGAACCTGACTTATAGCGTGCGCACCTCATGGGCGTGGCTCCAAGAAAGAGACTCGCTTCATCTCATTGCATTCAACTGGCCCGCTTGAAACGTTATGACACAGTGAGGTATGGCTCATGTTTTCTCCTTGATATGTTCAAGTCCACCTTGGAAGGTTTTGGACGCACATAACTTTAGGGCTTGGGGTCGCATTAACAAATAAGAAGAGGGCAAAACAAAGCTGGAAGTATGAACGACGGGATGTCCTGAACCTGTGACAGCACCCAAACCGCCGTTGGGCTTGTCTGATTCTCTTGTGAATGGCCTTCACTCAGTTTGCTGGCTGTCAGATGAGGTTGTTTGTCCTTCCCTCAGGCGGTCATTCTTTCTTCTCAGCAGCATCTAGACACAGAGAGAGTCAAGTTATTTTCTGCATTAGGATTTTGGCAGGGTTTTGTTTCTGGTTCCAAGATTCATTTAGATATACAATTGTGTTGTGTGCAACGGCGCTTCGTTTTTGTTTTGAGGTCTGACTAGCTTGGGCAAATCTATCCAAATAAAAGTGGCTGCTACATTCATTAAAAGTCGCATTGAATAGGTCGGCACCGTCACTGATAATGACTCATACTTTTTCAGAACGTTTCGTTTGGTATGAAACACCGTCTCAATCAATTGCTATTATTACTATTATTATACAAAGAGTAGATGTACTCATTTGTGACATTGATAAATGTATGCTTGAATGGGTTTGGTGTGGATGACTTTGAAGCCATCACAAGGCTAAACAGCACCTTTGGGATGTGCTCCGATAGAAAATGGGAGCCAAGATCAATGTCCTCTGACCTGACAAGTGGTCTTGAAAATGAATAGACACAAAAAAAAAAATAATAATAAAAAGCCCCACAGACACTCATTTCATTTGTATTTTTCAGTGCCATATGTATTGAACATTTAATTATCCCAGAAGTAGAATCCAAATATTGCATGATGCCTATTTAAAAAGCAATCTTTAGTTCTGAATCCCTTTTACCGACAACAACCTGTTTTTCTGTGCTTCTTTTTTTTTTTTGGGGGGGGGGTGCTACTGTCCTGCTTTATTGATTTAAGCCAAAGTAACAGTTCCTGGGGGTTGCCTAAGATTTATTTCCCTTGGAAACGGATTATGATCAAAACATGTTCCCATTATTAACATGAAAAAAAAGAACAAATGAAGAACACACGCAGACACCCACATTCTTAGTATTCTGTTTCTACTGCTTCATTAAAATTACATGCCTTGTTATTATGCCCAAATCTCAGTGGGCACCTGAGAATAACAGCGTGGTATTCTTACCAAATATGATTTATTTGCATGATTATCGCCTCTACAGTCTGTCTTGTCTGCTCCTTGGAATAATATGTATTGCACACTTGATTTATTGAATGTCTGATCGTGGAGTTTGCAGGCCATTTATCACACTCAATCTCCATAGACGTGCTGACACATTTATACCAAAATACCAGGGTCATAGCTGTAGACCTGAGATGGAGTTGTGGTGGGGTGCGGGGGTGCATTTACAAATGCATTTGGCCCTGAAGGCGCACGTAAGGACTGTCTGCCTGATGTCTTTGCCTGCTAAGACGAAGAGATGGAGACAGATGGGGAGGAGAGCATGAGCTCTGCGGGAGAGACAGCAGAGAGACGAGAAGGGCGAAGCCGTGTCGCACTTGGATGCACGGCGTGGCTCGACAGATTTGGCTATGCGACTCCGAGGAAAGCTCAACCTCAGGAGTGAATTTTAATTGAGCAGCTGTGGCCTCTCGTACGCATCCTTTTGTAGCATTCTGAATAAACGGCAACGCATCCTCTGTATTTTTTCTTACCTTTGGACTTCATGCTGTCAGTCAAAATGGATTCGTGTTGCCCTGAACTGTCAGCATGATCTTTTATCCCCTCTAAAGTAAAAAGGAAGTGGGCGTGAAAAGAGAGAAAGACAACAGAAGGCAGAGTGTGAATGCTTGAGAAAGACAAGAATATGTTGCGTCTTCAACATTGTGATGGTAGCTGTATAGGCAAAAACGACATAAGGCAACTTTTTGGTTGGATGGCCCATAAAATTTGATTTTAAATTTGGAGTAAAAAAGTTATAAGGATGAAATGAACACTGCTGTTCCAATGCCAGATTGCTGTGGTATGAAACACCATTTATGTCATCTATAAAACACAAACTCAATTGAAAAACAAAACAAAAACATTCTATAAAAGAGGTTGAGTAAAATAAACTGAGATAATGTTGTCGCATAAGTGTTGACACCCACTAATAACTGGGGCTGTGGCTCTCCGTAATTAACAAATCACAACTCATGCAAAATGGGAGTCAGCACACATCGGCCACCGTTGGAAAACTAAATGACTTCTTAGAAAATTCAAATGTTCTAGGAGGCTACTCCTGACTTGTTTATTTTGCTTTTTTTAGCAGAAGCCTGGATCTTTTGCGTTAATAATTGGTATTTGTGTTCGCAACTCCCTTCACCTTGACCAACTGTCTTGCCTCGATTCCAGCAGACAAACAAAATGCCACCATAATGTTTCACTGTGCGTTTGGTCTCCTTTTGGTGATCAGCAGAGTTGTGTTTGCACCATACATACCGTTTGGAATTTCGGCTTAAAAGTTAAACCTTGGTTTCATCGGATGATAGCCCATTTTCCTACATATGTTTGAATGTAAGCCATATCAATAATCATGCAAAATATTCTTTTGATTTTGCCGATCAACATGTATTCTGTTACTTGCTTCTTGCCTAATAGAAATTGTGATCGGTTATGTCTCAGGGAAGCCCCCACCCAAAAAGGTGTAACAGAGGAAAGAAAATGGGCAGTGAGTTTCTGCAATACATTACTTTAACAACAGGGGGCAGGATGGAGAAACAAGTGATTTGCTCACCTCCAGTGCTGGTGCCAGGTGCGGCGGTCTCAGAGACAACTGCAATGGGAAGCACATCTGAGTTGTAGATATAATTCATAAACATCTAAGTAGTTGCATAATGCCATGATACTACATGTTTAACAGCTCCGCTTAATGGCCTCTCATGCCTGGAAATTAAGTGCTTTTCTTGAGTTGCACTTTAAAAAAAAAAAAAAAAGAGAGAAAAACATAGGCGAGAAGGGAGAGAGATGCGTGCAAAATTAATTACAAACTGCCACCCCTGTAAGGCAGCCCGAAACCCCCCCAACCACCCTCCCGCACTAAACCTCCTTCCGCATTCTCTATACGGCCTGTTATCTCTGTAGTCACACAACTCCTTCCTTCTTCCTCACTCCCCGAGCAAACCTCGCCGCTTCCCCCTTTTGCAACAACAATCAGGCAAACAAAGCACACCATAAAAATACCCGCTCTCCCCCGGCGGCCCGGCGGCCCAGCAGCAGCAGCGTGAAATACAACCGCTTGGCTACGAACGAATAGCTAGAATTGAAAACATTCTGCAGCCTGCAGTAAAGGTCAGATGCTCACCAAGACACGCCAAGAGTGACGCTGGTAAAAGAGGTTGCGACCTGTGGTAATGACCTAGGATGATGCATGGAGTTCAATGTAAACTACAATATAATGCCTTTTTTTTTTTTTGTGGGGTTAATTTGCTTTCAGTTTTTACCTGCTGCGTTGCCTGCTTGTGCTAGGTTACATCACTGTTTGACATTCCGCCTTCTGTTAGCTGGAAATCTTCACCTTTCTGATTCCATTCGTCTCTTATGCTGACTCAAAAAATAGTTTTCTCCAAGACAGAATGGGTTTTTATCTGATGCAACTATCTGAAGTGAAGTTTCTAATTCCTGTTAGACTAACGGTAGGAAGGATGAAGCAATGGTCTCAGACTTGTGTGTGTGTGTGTGTGTGTGTGTGTGTGTGTGTGTGTGTGTGTGTGTGTGTGTGTGTGTGTGTGTGTGTG